TCTTATATTTAGTATATCTTGTACTCAACTTTTAATATATTCTTTTTGATTTATATATAAAAAATAAATAAAAATTATAGGTAAAATATTTATGTATTTATTTGGTCAAAATTATGGAATATGATGATGAAGCAATTAATTTCAAATTTTTACTTTTTTTTAGTTGTAGTAATTTCAGGAAATTGTCCATCTTTAATAATAATTTCAAAACTATACTCTACTATGACAAATTATCTCAACCAAAAATACCTTTTCGTTATTAGGATACAAGTAGTAACTAACTAACTAAACACTTCTCTAACTTAATTTTCTGGGTCGATTACATTTTCTCCTTACATAGACTTTTCTATTTACTGATGCTCTATCACTATGTTCGTTCACAATTTATGAAACTTGTTAATTTTAGATGAGAATTAAGTCTTGTCTCTCTCACTATAAACATTTTATAAGTCTTCCAACCTTGGCAATTAAAATTCTAATTTTCCATCATATGCTCAATACTCCTTGTATTTACTTGGAGTGAGCCTAACATTCAGGGGTAAGGAGTGTTCGTGGCGAATGAAAACTAAAGAGGCTAAGGAAGCTCTAAAAATTTGGAACTTTAACCATTATGGGAACTTACAAAAAAGATTAATGGATGTGGAAGAAAGGCTAAACAAGTTAGACAAGAAAGAGGAAGAGGGTCGGTTATTAGAGCAGGATCTGTTGAACAAACGGAACTTACAACAACAACTGTGGGAGGTTGCCAAGCATAATGAATCTCTATTAAGGTAGAAATCTAGGATAACTTGGCTTAGGGAGGGTGACAGGAACTCGAGATATTTTCACATGGAAATTAATGGGAGGAGAAGAAAACTCAACCTAAAAGGTTTGCAATTGGATGGTGAGTGAGTTCAGGATCCAGACACAATCAAGGTTGAGGTCTTAAGATTCTTTAATAGTAAGTACTCAGAGGAAATCTGGAATAGACCGACCCTTGATGGGGTTTAGTTCACTAAAATTAATCAACAGCAAAGATTGTACCTCATGCAACAGTTTGGGAAACAAGAAGTTAAAGTTGTAGTGTGGGAATGCGAAGGAACAAAGAGCCCAGGCCCTAATGGATTCAACTTAAATTTCATCAAGAAGTACAGGGATGTTTTGGAGGGCGACATGATGAGATTCATTGAAGAATTCCACACAAATAGAAAGTTGCCAAAAGGAACAAATGTATATTTTATCTTTCTGATCCCCAAAGTTGACTGTCCATCTTAGCTTGGTGATTTCAGGCCCATTTCACTTGTGGGTTGCATGTATAAAATTCTTGCTAATAGGATCAAGAATGTTCTCCTTTCTATTATTGATCCAGTCTAGAGTGCCTTTCTTGGGGGAAGGAATCTTCTACACAGTGTAATGATTGTAAATTAGGTTGTCGATGAAGCTAAAAGGAAAAAAAAAAAGAAATGTATATTGTTTAAGATAGATTTCAAAAAAGCCTACGATTCGGTATCCTAGAGTTTTCTCCTCTATATGTTGCGTAGACTCGGCTTTTGTCATAAATGGTGCAATTGGACCGAGAGTGTCTAGTTATAACAAGGGTCTCAATATTGGTAAACAGAAGCCCATCGACTGAATTCTCCTCGCAAAAAGGAATTCGACAGGGAGACCCCTTAGCACCATTTTTATTCTTAGTGATGGTTGAAGGTTTAAGCGGTCTGATAAGGGTAGCAAGGGAGCAGAACATGTATTCAGGTTTCATAGTAGGGTCGGAAAAGGGTGGAAGTTAGTCTATTATAATTTGCTGATGATACAATATTTGTTGGGGAAACAAGTTTGGGTAATATGGTTACGGTTAAATGTATCCTAAGATGGTTTGAGTTGGTATCAGGGCTACAAATAAATTTTCACAAGAGCATGTTTGGGGCATTGAGAGTGGAGACAAGGGAATTGGAAAGGTATGCATCGTTGCTTAACTGTAAAGTTATGAAATTGCCATTTACCTACTTGGGGATTCCCATTAGGGATAATCTGAGGAGGAGTCAAGTGTGGGAAGAAATAATAAAGAAACTCAAAGAAGTTGTCAAGGTGGAAAAATATGAATATATCATTAGCGGCGCGAGTGTGCCTTGTAAACTTAATACTAACAGGGCTGCCATTATATATGATGTCTTTCTTTAAAATGCCCAAACAAGTGGTGCATAAGATTGAAAGAATACAAAGAAAGTTTATATGGGGAACCAAGGAGGGAAGTTCAAAAATACATTAGGTGAAATGGTAAAAAACGTGCCAACCAAAAAACCAAGGTGGATTAAGTATAAAGAATCTCGAGGCATTCAACGATCCATTCATTGGGAAATGGAAATGACAAATCTCCCACCATCAAGATTCATTGTGGAATAAAATCTTATCCTCCAAGTATGGGGTGTGGCAAACTTTACTGGAGAAGGAAACATGTTAAAAGGCATCATGTTGGTGAAGGGAGTTATTGAAAGTTTGTGGTGGGCTAGCACGTGATCAATGGTTTCAAATGGGGCTAGAATGGCGACTAGGGAAACGAGATAAAATCAGATTATGGAGAGACAACTGGACTGGATATCAAACATTGAGTGAACTGCCTATCTGAGACTATTTCAAATATCATATCAGAAGGACAATTTGACAAAGGACATGGGCTATTAGGTTGATCAAGAGTGGAGATGGGATCTGTTATGGAGAAGAGGATGGATTGGTAATGAAGATGCTCAATGGGACGATTTAAGTGCTCAACTTCAAGGAAAGTTGCCAAAGATTAGCAAAGAAGATTCATGGTGGTGGGTCAATGGCCACAATGGTGATTACTTTGTTTTTGTAGCATACTCAACCATTCATTCCTTGCATTTTATTGCCTCCGAAAACCACTTTCTTTCAAAGGTTTGGAAGCTCAAAGTCCCTCCCAAGGTGGCGGTTTTGATTTGGAGGATCTATCACAATGGTCTCCCTACTTGTGATAACTTAATCAAGAGGAACACCATTATATAGGACCTTAATGAGATTTGCCCATTCTGTAACTTGGAAATGGAATCCACTAACCATATTTTGTTCACATGTCACCAAGTGGACCTCATTTGTAAGGCTTGCTACAATTGGATCTTTACCCCATTAGTTCTTCCTGGGAATGCCTCATAACACTTTTTCCATCTTCCATATCCTACGTGTACTAAATAGGAGGCCCTAAAGTGGAAGGTCTTATGGTGTTCAATAGTATGGTGTGTTTGGAACTTAAGGAACAATTGCAGGTTTCAGGGCAAGCACTTTATGAAGGAGAGCCTACTAAATGACATTTTGGTTACAACTTGGGCATGGTTGAAGGTAGACCTTGCTTTTCAATTCATTTTCCAATAGTGGAGTGCAAAATCACTACAAGAAAATGACAATTTTGTGATGGTTATATGGCCTACATTGTGACGGTTAGAACTGCCGTAAAGACAACATTGCGAAGGTTTGGGAACCGTCGCAAAATTGTCCGTCACAAGGCAATTTTGCGACAGTTATCAGAACCATTGCACAAACCGTCGCAAAATTGAAATTGCGACCCCAAAAGCACCCGACGCACTAACTGCCTCTAAATTAATATTACGACTCTTTTTTTTACCCGTTAGAAATTATAATTTTTTTTAATTTTAATAAATTTATTAATGTAACAATCCTCATATATATTTGGCCTCTCAAGGGTTCTATTTCACGAGCCTTGTCGGATCCTCAAAACTACGTTCATCAGAAACTTCAGAAGCTGGTAATTTATTTTTGCATATGCACTTTCTTCTAATTCCTCCATGCATTTAACCCATTCTTCTGTTGCTTTTTTCTTCTTCACTTTTTTCTTTAATTATTGTGCTGCTTGCTCTTACTTTTATGGTGTTTTGGAGTTTCATGAAGCTTGGAAGAAAAACTTTTGATGTTAATTTTGAGGTTTTTGTTTTTGTGATAATCTGAAACCGGTTTTGTGAAGGGTAATTATCGTATTGCCAGTTTACTAGGAAAAGAAAAGGATTGTGCCTACAAGTTGAGTATCAGAAGTTAGATCTACTTTGTAAGGATCAAAGGGAAGCCTCTCATTTGATGTTAATAAAATCTCTTTTCTTTTTATTGTATTGTTTAGTGACTTTTGGAACTCTTAATTCCCACAGTTCTTCGTCTTCTTTTTCTCTTCTAGACTATAATTACCTCTTTTTAGCTTTTGATTGTTTTAAATCTTCCAAGTTTGTTTTTTTTTTTTTTTTTTTTTTTCTAAAAATCAAATTGGAGATTGCTACTTGTGATTATTGGGAAAAACCCAAGCCCCACATCGACTAGAGATTAAACAATTGAATAGTATATAAGTGGAAAACAACTCTCACCTTACAAGTCGGTTTTGTAGTGTTGAGTTAGGCTTAATCCACTATTCTAACATGGTATCAGAGCCATTTAGATCCACTTTAAATGAGCCACCCACCATTGATGCATGTACCAGAAAAAATCAGAACTGTAAAAACAGACCCAAGCCATACGTACAAACCTTGCTGCAAGAGACAAAGCAACCAAAATCTGAAATTTAAGCAATAACATAGGTTCTTATCAGCTAGCTATATGGGTTAATAACAAATTATCTTATAATCAACTGCCCCGTCTCATAAGGCATATTTCAAAGAAATAAAAAAATATATCATAAATATATGATACAAGTTTAGCAACCCTGCCAGCCAGATACGGGGAAATGTAAAAATCTGAACAGAAATAAATTAGCAAGTAAAATGATCAAAATTTTGCCATCTCTGTTTCCATTTCACTTTTTCATTCCTAGCCTTGGCATAAATTAGGTTTGGTTTCTAGTTTGCTAACCTACACAACTAAAGTAACAATAGCTCCACACCTATTTCTTTTCTATTATGAAAAAACATAGGAAAAAAATTAAATAAAAAATATTAATATCATCAGGCATTACTACAAAAATACTATTCGGTCACTATATTTACATATGAAGCAGTTTTACATCGGTTTTCGTAGTGACCGATGTAAGACATTATTATTTTACATAGTTCGATGTAGAATTGGAAGACATTTCTAAGCCCCAGCTTGATCTCGTGCTTTCTCAGTGCGCGATTTTCCAACTCCATGCGTAGGAAGTTCTTTGATTGGCGAAATCTTCTTTGAGTGTTCCTCAACTGATCGTCTACTCTCGTGCAACAACCGTAGGTCCTCGAGAACTAGGGTATTCCATTTTCTTTGTGAATGCATTCAAGCCCTCTTCTAATGAATTTTTCTTTTATTTTTCTGGGTTTGTTTTGGAAGAATTGAACGCATTGTATTCTTTGAATGCACTATTAGAAGCCTTGTCGGATCCTCAAAACTACGTTCATCAGAAACTTCAGAAGCTGGTAATTTATTTTTGCATATGCACTTTCTTCTAATTCCTCCATGCATTTAACCCATTCTTCTGTTGCTTTTTTCTTCTTCACTTTTTTCTTTAATTATTGTGCTGCTTGCTCTTACTTTTATGGTGTTTTGGAGTTTCATGAAGCTTGGAAGAAAAACTTTTGATGTTAATTTTGAGGTTTTTGTTTTTGTGATAATCTGAAACCGGTTTTGTGAAGGGTAATTATCGTATTGCCAGTTTACTAGGAAAAGAAAAGGATTGTGCCTACAAGTTGAGTATCAGAAGTTAGATCTACTTTGTAAGGATCAAAGGGAAGCCTCTCATTTGATGTTAATAAAATCTCTTTTCTTTTTATTGTATTGTTTAGTGACTTTTGGTATAAGTTCATTAAGATAATATACATAATACTTCAAAAGAATAAACTTTTAAATTCTAATAATAAAAAAATTGTCTTATAGATTGCGACGGTTTATAGTAAACCGTCGCAATGCTGAAAAGTTTGCGACGGTTTATGATAAACTGTCGCAATGTTAAACAAATTTTGCGACAGTTTACAATAAACCGTCGCAATGTTAAACAATTTTTCGACGGTTTTGAAAAACTGTGGTATGAAGGGTCGCAATATCAAAGCAACGAAGGTTTCTAGATAACCGTCGCAATTTGCCCGTCGCAATTTATCATTTTTCTTGTAGTGAACCAGGTTTCTGTTTGTTAGGTATAGGTTAGTGATGTTGTTTTAAAGGAAAACCTAACAGTGTAGGTTAGTGGAAGGTAGGGGGAAGGGTAACAAAGTTAGTAGTCTAATGTAGGAGAGTGTAGGTGGAGCAAAGTTTATGTTGGTGATTAAAGCTATCTCAAAATGAGTGTTTCATAATACATGTGGATGTTGGGAACAATGTAAGGGAAGAAGATTAGTAGGTGCAGGGTTATAAGCATGTGTAGAACATTAAGTTAATTTCTAGCAAATGATTTCTTAGCTCTGTATTTATACTCTTTCAAGTATCACTTTTACCTGATAGTATCAATATATATATATATATATATATATATAACACATACTAATAGTAAAGAGATAAACTTCGTGTATATGTTTTTTAGGCAAATTTATCTCCATAATTACTATTTTTTCTCTCCATCATTTTCTTATTGAGTAAGTTATGTTATCTTCCACTTTAAGATAAGGGTATTACATGATCATCATTTTTATGTTATATATATATATATATATAATTATCTTGGCTGATAAAAAAAAATTTCAATCTAAATTACGGGACAAATAATCACAAATATTATATTTAGTCATTATGAAACAAAGTCATTATTGTTGGATTTCTATATTCATTTCTGTACACTAGTATGATAATATTCACTTTAAATATAAATTCTCGTACCTTTAGTTTTGATATTTTTTAAAATGTCTTATACTAATAGAAGTTATAAAGATTATGTATATTTTATAAAGCTTTATTTCTTATTCCAATAATTACACGCGAGGGTTTTGTATATTCTGTTATGTTCCATCAATGATGAGCAAATTCAATTTCTAGCTAGGAGCTAGCGTTTGACGTGCCCATTTTGGATCCTCAAGACATCATTTATATATGATTTTGGTTTCCCAAGATGCTCGGGTGAAAGGTATCCCTTATAGAAATCTGCTACACCAATTGTTTTGAACAAAGGTGGTGATTCTGGAGTAACAAGAGAAGGTGCTGGACCTATGTTTCCACTCCATTCTGGGGCATAAAATGTAGCTATGGATACTCTCTCTTTCTGTGAGTTTACTACTGCTCCATGCATAGTGCTCCTATATATTCCATTTGTCATTACCTGTAAAACCAAATATACATGCCCAAGTGACATTTCAAATAATCCTACACGATATAAGAAAAATGTCTAATGATATAAAATCACTAGATTTAACTTCTTTAATTTTAAATTGATGATGAGCATTGATCAGGTCTACAATCTACATTGTATTTTAATTTAAGATCCCTAAGAAGTATTGTAGTTTCTTTTTATAACTCCATTTCTAATTAGAAGTAATATAAGACAAATTATTAAGAATAAAAAAGTAATTAAATAATTATTTTTATTTAATATTCTATTATAAAATAAAATTTTATTATGAATATATCTTTTATTTTAATTGATAGTTATATTTAATGTTAGTATTCAATGATTATAGAATAAGTGAATGAATAGAAAATAGAGTTAACAATAAATTAAAAAGAATAAAATAAATTTATAACTAGAAGTAGTTTTATTTTTTAAATTCAACATTAAAATTTGTACAATTATAATTGTGATTAATACATTAGGAATCTTAGTCTCTTGATCATGTAAAATTCGTAGTTAATTTGATTTAATTGTTAAATATTTATTAATTAATTGTTAAAATTGCAACATTATTAATGACCTAATATTAAATATATGTTGAGATAATTAATATTTAATTATATTTATGTTAAATTACTTTTAGTCCTCATTTTATCTAATAAAGTGATAAAAAAATATGAAAATAGAGTAAAAATAAGAATTAAAAGTATAATTTAACCTAAATATTATTCTCCATCTATGTCATCTTTTTTAATATCAAGTCTTTTTAATATCAAGTTATGATCAATGTTACAATTTTAATTATTGATACATAAAAATATATATAACAACTGAACCCATTACATAAAACGGAGTTTAAAATTATATGGTTAAAAAAATTGAAGGATGAAAATCCTGTGAAATATGATAGGAAACCAAAAATTATATTTATCCTTTTAATTACTTACCTCCATGACATCTCCTAGACTAATGATGAAAGCATTTGGGAGGGGCTTAACTAGAACCCACATTCCATCTTTATTTACTTGGAGGCCCTCCACTTGATTGGCTTGGAGGAGGATGGTGAGGGCAGATCCATCAGTGTGAGCATTTAGGCCAAGGACATTTTCTGGTTGGGGACAAGGAGGATAGTAATTCATTCTTATTGATTGGCCTCCTTCTCCTAATGACTCTTTAATATCCCTTTCTTCTATACCAAGAGCTATTCCTATAAGAACAAAAATGTTGATGGCAAGGTCTCTCATCTTTATACAATAATCCTCTAAATTTTTCCTGCATGCACAGGTCAACATTAATGATCGAAGTAATTTTCAGATTCTAGAAAGAAATATCAATCTTCTGACAATGACTTCGTATGTGTGCATTGGATGATAGAGATAGGAATTTGTCATTTAAAGAGCATAATCTTTATATGAAAAATTCAAAACGTTTGATTAATATATATTAAATGTAGATAACAAAATGATAAATATTTTATTTGAATATATATTTTACATTTAACGATTTTGTGAGAATTTCATTTCTCTCACCTCACTTTAATTCGAATTTTAAGATAATAATTTTAGCCTAAACTCTATTATTATATTCATGACAAAATATTTTCTTCAACTTTTTTTTCCTTAGTCATTTTTTCTCTGTTGGTGACACTTAATCATGTGTCGAAATGAGTTTTATCAAATTATCTAACATCTTGAACTTTATCTATTTAACCTAATCATTTTTCTATGACTTAGTTTTTTTTTCTTTCTATTTTAGAAAAGTTATACTTGGTTTAAACGTCTATTGAAATTGTAATAAGGTATTCAAACAAACCAATATAAAGTAATAGACAGATAGATTTAAACTTTCAGATAGACTAATACATGCATGATTTCAAGACATTACAATATTTGACAAAAAAAAAATTATGATGGAATCACACTAAGGTCAAGAAGACCAAGAGGTGATATATTGAAGGAGGAAAGAAGAATGGGTTAGGTTTGAAAACTATAAGAGGAGTAGGACTACTTTTGGGCCTTAGCTCCACTAGTACAGAATATACATTTTACGTCGGTCATTTTAGGGGGTTTTACGTCTGAAAAAGCTGTGACGTAGAAGCGGGAGACGTAAATTTACGTCGAGGTGCGAAAATCGACGTAAATTTACGTCAGACATTACAAGGTCTGACGTAAAAAGTTGTGAAAAAAAAAATTGATTTCAATCAGAACGGGCTGTTTTGGTTGGAGAACGGCCCGTTCTCCAAGCAGAACGGCCCGTTTTGCTTGGAGAACGGCCTGTTCTGAATGGAGAACGACCCGTTCTAAATGGAGAACGGCCCGTTCTGCAATCTGGACTTGGCCACTTCCTTCTCCAGCTTCAAAAACTCAGAATGCAACGCATAAAAACTCAGAATTGCTAAAAGATCTGCCAAAATACTTCACAAATACACCCGTAAGTGAACCTAGGAACAACTATTTTAAACAGAACCTTTTAATCAAGGGCAATAACTCCATTTCCTATTTCTTAAAACGACTACACCAAAAAATTACAAGGTTCAAAATGCAAGAAGTAAAACCTTTTCCAGATTTGCTCCAGATTTTCTCCAAAAATCAAGAATAGATTTTGCTCCAAAAATCAGGAGCAGCCACGATTTGAGGAGGCGCGGGAGAACCTTTTCCAGATTTGAAATCTCCACCACGATTTGAGGAGGCGCGGGAGAACCTTTTCCAGATTTGAAATTTCCACTGCGTGAATCTCCATTTAATTAATGAGTGAGGATTATTTACGTCGGCCCTAAAGGGGTCCGACGTAAATTTTAACATCTACGTCGAACACAATGCTTAGCCGACGTAGATGTTAAAATTTACGTCGGACCCAATTAGGGCTGACGTAAATAATTCAACAAAATTACGCTACATGTCACCGCACTTTTATAACGTCGGGTTTTCGTATTTCCGACGTAAATTAGGTGACGTAAAATCCTATTTTTGCACTAGTGCTCCTAAGTTTTTATTAGTATAAGATTCATTCCTATTTTTGCCCTTGTCTTTAATTTTTTATTTTACCCTTCTATTTTGGGTACCTTAGACATAAGATTTATTTTTCTTGTATTTTCTATTTTACCCTTATATTTTGGAGTGTCTTAGTCATATGATTTATTTTTACTTGTATTTCTCATTTTACCCAACATAAACAACGCATATAAAGCAATTAGGCACGCAAATCTTAACAACGCATATAAAGATACATATATAACCAACATAAACAACACCAACAACATCATCATTATCATCTTATAATAATCATCATCAACATTATTCAACATCATACATGGCCTATACATCATTTACTAGCCTACCTAGGAAATAAGAACATCTTATAAAACACTATAATATCTTATAGAATAAAAACCATTTTGCTAAGCAAGCTTCAACTCGTTGAGTGACCCAATCTCTCTATATCCTATAATATATTATGAGGTGTCTTAGATTATAGGATTTTATTTTATAGCTAGGGTATTTTATTAAGGTTGGAAACCAGGCTTAGACATGTTTTTTGGTGGCATTCACTAGTGGAAAATTAGCATATTACGTCACCTCTTTTACGTCAGAAATACTTAAATCCGACGTAAAAAAAACGCGGTGGCATTTTTGTAATATTTGCGTCCTTTTTTACGTCGGACCTGGTAGGGTCTGACGTAAAAAGTCCAATCTACGTCGGAGGTGTGTTGTGTCCGACGTAGATTGGACTTTTTACGTCGGACCCTACCAGGTCCGACGTAAAAAAGGACGCAAATTTGAATAAGAGAGCGCGAGGCACACCGCGCGCATTCACTCTTCCTCACTTTTCATTTTTTTCTCTCTAAACCCTCTCCCTCTCCTTTGTTACTGAATCGTTTTTTTTGTCTTTTGCAGAGGGATGAACCCTTTGTTACTCATTTGCACATTATTGCTGCTCCTCAGGTATGAATCAAGATTTCCTTAACACTTTTCTACTTCGCATTGCTACTCTGGCTATCTGTTTTATTTGATTTTTTGGTTGTTCTATTTGTATAGGTAGTGGGCGTTTTCTTTTAAGTTGTTATACGAAGCTGAATGGCTTGTTATGGAAGCAGAATGGCCTGTTCTGCAAGCAAAACGGCCCGTGCTGCAAGCAGAACAGCCCGTGCTGCAAGCAGGACGGCCCGTTCTGCAAGCAGAACGTCCCGTTCTCCAAGCAGAACGAGCCGTTCTGCTAGCATTTTTATGTTTTTTTTTTTAATTTTTTCCTACTTTTTTACGTCGAATGTCGTAATGTCCGACGTAAATTTACGTCAGTTTTGCGAATCTGACGTAAAATTTACGTCTCCCGCTTCTACATCGGTATGTTTTCTGACGTAAAAAGCTGAAAATGTCCGACGTAGTACACCTCTTTTGTACTAGTGATTGGATTTATTTTTAGACTTGGCAAGGTTTAGGTCCAAGTGGAAGGCACCTAGGTTGCATGGTCTTATCATGCACCTAGATGTAGCTTAACCAAACTCAAAGATTCCATCCTTGGCCACCAAGTAGCATCTAGGGTTAATTTAGGTTTCATTTGAAGTGTATTTGGATTGCATTACTTGGCCATGTACTCTCAAATGTAACCCTAAATGCATCCTCCAGTCTATAAATACTCTAGGCTAGCCTCCTTGTAAATACTTTGTAAATTAATATAGAGTGAGCCTTTTATGCCTTTATATTTTTCTTAGTCTCTCTTGGTCATTTTTGGCCAAGAACCCTACCTATCTCCACCTTGAGTAAAAACTCTAGGAGTGACTCAAACCCTAGAGTACCTTTCAAGCATTCTATCAAACATCTTCTATCCTTCCTCCATTTTCGGTCACCACCACCATCTAAGGCTAGGCCTTTGAAGGACTAAGATCCGTGGAGCCTAGGAGTCCTCTCATTGATCATCCTTCTTCCATCAATGCTAGGAGGTCTTCCATCAATTTATTCCAATAAAAACTTAATACAATAATTATTTTATTACAATATCAACATCCATTTCGTTGTCCACGTTTTATTTCTTTATTTCAATATTTTTAATTTACAAGAACTTCCTTTGTTTTCGTTAATGATGATGATGATATTAATTTCCAAATAATTTTTAAATAAGTTGGTATAGGCTAATTTTTATATTTGTATAATTTTTTTAGGAGGTGGGTATATGAAATATTATCTTATAGAATATGAAGGTTTTCTAACATATCAAAATATTTTATTGTAAAAAAAAAAAATATCTACATATTTTATCAATAGTTCAAATTAACTCAATCAAAATTTAATTTTCTGAAACTTTAAAATTAATAAGTGTATACTTTTTTCTCCTAAGGAAATAAAAGTCTAAATATCTAAACTAAAAATCAAGAAAGAAAAAATAACATAAGACATATATGAGAATAAAAGAAAATGAATCCAATTCTAGAGATTTAAAAACATGAACCTCCTCCATTAAACTAAGACCTCTCTTAACAAAACAAACTATCACTTGATTATCTCCCTCATAAATATGAATATAATCAACACAATGATCATTCCAACCATACGGACCACAAGATTAATTAGTAAGAAGAAAATATAGATGGTTTCAGTTGCAACCTTCATTTATGAACTTTTATATATACTGCCAAAGAAGAATCTATAACTTACAAGAATAAGCAAAAACAAACTTGTCGAGATGGTTCTCAATAATACCTCCACAAGACAATGTATGATTTGTTGATTGTGCCCCAACACAATAATTGATTTTGTAGCAATAGATTAGAGACTTGACCCATTCAATGTGAGATGTCACTAATTGAGTTAATTTACCAATTGGACCACCATGCAATCCTACTTGAACAATCTACGAGGTTCGACCATGCATTTTGCACACCAACTAATTCATCATCACATTCTTGTTGGAAAATAAATCTATTACGCGTCTGCCATATGGAATCCATGCCATTATTTTATGCATCATGAAATTTCTAACCAAGTTATCTTCCAACCATCGATTTAAGGGAGATGTAAAAAATTGAGTTCCCCAAAGTTACCTCCTCATATACACTGTCAAACATTGTTAGCTAAAGTACAATCCCGAAGCACATGTAAGGTATCTTCGTCCTAATTCTCACATATGGGTCATAATGCATCATGAGCCATGTCTTTCCTTACGCTCTAATCGTTAGTGCTTAAGTTTTTGTTTGCCACTCACCACAACAAAGTGCAAATCCTCTTGAGGCTAGGCTATTTCCAACTGAGTTTGAAGAGTTAGATAGATTTGCGTGCCTAATTGCTTCATATGCTTCTTTAAAGGAAAATGAGCCATCTAAAAACCTCCTCTGGACAATAACATCCTTCTAATCCTCCAAGGTTGGGGGGTTTCCTAATAACCTCATCCCAAACAGTATGAGGAATTAATGTGCGAATATGTTCTAAATTCCCCTCCCGTAGATGTTAACATATTCTTTTTTTGGTTCGTCCCTGGAGTATCCATCGCCGACAGCACTGACTAATCTCCTCGCTACGTTGGAGGCACCTCAAAGAGTTTTATATCTGTCTCCAAGATTTAACGCGGCTGCATACACAAGGCAGGATTCGAACCCCTGATCTTGCTTAAGCGTGGATCAACCCCTACCGCTGAACCACACGCTTACTAGTTTTAACATTTCATCTGTTGGAATATATTGAATTATAGATCCAAGAATGAGTTTTCCTAAAGAAAGCCATCAATGCAACCAAAATTTAACATATCTTACATCTCCCATTCACTAGACAATATTGAATTTGACAAAATCCATCATCACACATGCCTTGCCAAATATTTGAAGCATTTGACTTTCTATTGAAAGATGAGACAATTTCCTCACCACAATTGTATTTGGCTTTCACCACTTTAACCTAAAGCTTGTTTGGATTTTTAGACATCTATTAACAATTTTTCATCACGAATCACTTATTCAACATCTAGCACTTTTTAGTCCAAGACCCCCTTCCTCCTTAGGCATATACCAATCAAGAAACAACATGTATTTTCTTTGCAAGTTGTCATGCCCCCATTGGAAATCTCTACATCTCTCAATCTCCTTACATCTTTGTATTGTTAAGAAGGAAAATCGCATACTATAAGTCAAAAGGGCTACAAGAATGGAATATATGAGAGTAAGTCATCCAACAAATGATAGATTTTTGGCCTTCCAACTACTTAGTCTTTAGCTCACTTTATCAAGCACTAAATGATGCATTCTTTTACTCACCCTAAAATGATGAATGAAATTGCTCTAGTTCAGGCTTACTAACCCTTCCATCACCTCCCTAAGACTAGAAGCTAGTACCTTGGTTGTTACCTTATAAGACACATTGTAATGTTTAATAGCCTGGACACACTTGAATGAGAGAGATCCATAAATTTTTACCAATGTGAGATTTTATAGTTGAGGATGATTTAAAAGAATTAATTTGTATTACCTATGCCAACAAGATGCATATATTTTTCAATAGTTATCACAAAAGAACTCCATATAGTTAAGTGTGCTTAGCATAAAGTAATTTAGGGATGAATGACCTTTTGGAAAGTTTCCTAGAGAGCATGTGAGTAAGGACATGCCAAAAAGTTGTGTTGGCTTGTGGGGCCAATTGTTGATTCTACAGGTAGTCGCATATCTTAGAAAAGATTACCCATGAAGAGTTCTGACCAATAAGGAGTTGTGTAAAGTGTTGTGAAGTGGAGTTGAGATGTCAAATCTAAGGGGTATTACAAATGGTATTCAACCAGCTCCTCCTAATACGGTGTGGATTGGCAATGAACAAAGAGAAAATTGGTGAACTTGTAATAGTCCGAATACATTTAAATGAGAGGGATCTAAAGATTTTTATACGTTTGAGATTGTATAATTGACGATGACTTTAAGAAATTAATCTTGTACTACCTATACAACAAGATGCATTTACTTTTTCAATAGTTCATCACAAAAAAGTTTCATAGTTAAGTATGCTTAGCTTAGAACAATTTAGGGATGAGTAACCTTTTGGAAAGTTTCCCAAAAAGTGTGCTAGTGAGGAAAAAACATGCCAAAAAGTCTTGTATTGGTTTGTAAGATCAATTGTGGATTGTAAAGGCAGTTGGACATCTTAAAAAGGGTTATCCATGAAGGGTTATGACCAGTGAAGAGTTCTGATCAACAAAGAGTTGTATGAAGTGTCATCATGTTAAGTGTTATGGATTAAAGCCACTGAGATGTCAACTTCAAGGGGTATTATACAAAGGCTAATCGACCTCATTTATGTTAGATTCACCACACTATCCACTTTTGGAATTAGAGTAATAAAAGTATCTTTCATTTCCTCAACTTTACTGGGGATAACCTCGATCTCTTAATTAGTTTACATAAGGCAAAATCCACTTTACTCTAGTGAGTTGATAAAAAATAACTTGTAGACCATTTGATCCTGGTGATTTAAAATCACCCATACGTTTAAAGAACCATGAATCTCATCTTCAGAACCATGAATCTCATCTTCTTCAAAGAGTCTCCTCAAATTTTTCATATCTATATCAGACAACTCAAGAAAACAATTAGATAGACAAAAGGAGAAATATCTTTGAAATAACCTTTATAAAATTCAATAATCATAGTTTCCAACTCCTCATCATTATTAATCCATTGCCCAACATCATTTTGAAGCATCTTCACTCTATTTCTTTTCCTTCTTTTCCTTCTAATGATAGTTGTATAATGAAAATATTTTTTTTTCTATCTCCAAAGTACAACCATTTACATTTGGATATCTGAAATGTTTGGCTAATGTTATGTTTTAACCTTAACTATCAAACTCTGACCTTACAAGATATAAAAAAAAATTGTTTAATTATTTTTAATGATTAACACGTTATTTTATCAGAACAATTAATTTAATTAGTGACAAAAAGCAAAGAAGAATGAAAGAGCACCTGAATGGCAGTGGTATATTTGGGAATAGGTGGGGCTTCCTTAAATGTGATGGAAGTGTAAAAATGTAAAACAAATCTACCCAATCTGATGACCCTCCTTCAGAACCGAGCATTTGACCTAATCCTTCCATATCTCCTGGTTTCTGCCAAAGTTTATTCTTCTCTTCCATTGGAAGATTGAAGAGTTCTTGAACACCTCTCTTTACATCTTCCATCAATTCCACGTCAACTCCATGATTAATCAGCTGTCACAAGAAACCAAATTTCATAGAGTTGCATACCCACTTAAAAAATACTCAGCTGTGCAAGATTGATTAATTGCTTGGCATAGTTTACTTTTTTTTTTTAAGCCTTTTTTTTATTACATAGAATTTCTTCCCGCTTATTGCTATCCTTTCACTGGTAATTTTTCCTTCAAAACCAATAAAGCAGTAACATGAAAGTAACGTATAATATATTTTCTATGAAAATATACACTAAATTAATAATGGACTTAACAAGCGAGAAATGAATAAAATAATAAGAGACAAAGTGTGATATATACTTCAGAGAAATGCTAAAAACCCAATTTTTTTAAAAAAATATATTCACTCTAATTGATTGAAATTTATTGAAAAATATAAAATTTTGTGATTTTTACACCCTATTTAATGATTTTATATCTAAATTTTATAATTTTCAATAAATTTTAACCTATATATGTTAAGAGGACCGTAAATTTTTAAAAGTAAAAAAATCAAATTGCAATCAAAAATAAAAATGAGGAACTACACTTTTATTTTATCCTATTTAATAATATAAATGAGATATTTAAATACTTACTAACAAATTGCTAAAAAATTATATTTTAATAAAATCTAAAACTTAACCAACTGTATTAATCGGTTTATCCTTTCAGATTAAAGATCGTTAATTAGATTTGCACAATTGATAAAATATTATTAATTATATAAATGGTGTTTCATAATTATTTTATTATTAATTTTGTGAATAGAATATATTTTACAATAATTAAGAAATTAATAAAAAGAAAAGGATATTTATTTAATTTAAGATATTATTTGAAAAATATGTATTATAAATTGATAAATAATTATGATGTAAGGAATTATTATTATTATTATTATTATTATTATATATTGAATATCTCATAATTTCTTGATTAAGAAAAGGGCCTACTGTCGATTAATCTTATTTTTAGTAAAAACTTTTTATGTCATTCAGTGGGTGGATCAAAAAGATGGGTAAGAAAACACGTACTATATTTCATAAGATTTAGAACTGAAAAGAGTGAGAAAAGATGTAGATGCTAACCTGGAAAAAACCCCATTCTTTGCATGCAAGATCTAGCTTTTCCAGTTCAGGACCCTTCACTTCTTCAGACAATAACTTGTTTAGATCTACTACAGGGAGATGTGACAAAGATTCTGTGTTATATAAAATTGGAGGGTCAATATCTGGATGAACATATCTCTCTGGAACTTTTATTAGTGCCTCATTTGCTAGTTCTTTCACAGAAGAAGGAATACGAAGAGAGGATCCAATCTTTTCTGTTTCTGGCTCCATGATCACAAATTCCTAGGCTCAGATGGTGTTCTCTTATCTCAACAGTTAAGACTTGATAAGATTGATGTCAAACATGCTTGTATATCCAAACATAATTTTCCAAGACATGTGGCCGATAATCGAGGCTTTTTTTCCCATGCATTGACCATATGTTGAATTTATATATATAACAAATAATGATGATACTAGTGGAAAATTAGGATACTACGTCACCCATTTTACGTCGGACATACAAACATCCAACGTAATAAAAATGCGGTGGCATGATTCTTAATTTTAGTTAAATTATTTATGTCGGACCTCTTAGGGTCCGATGTAAATTTTAACATCTACGTCGGCTATGCATTGTGTCCGACGTAGATGTTAAAATTTACGTCGGACCCTACTAGGGCCGACGTAAATAATCCACGCCCATTAATTAAAAGGAGGTTCACGCAATAGAGATTTCAAAAATTTAAACCCAAGCTCATCTCCCGCGCGTTGTGCAATGGAGGCTAGCGAGAAATCCATCCGCTTCCTCCTCAAATCGTGACTGCCCTCGCAGTCGGAGCCACCATGTGCCACGAGTGGACCAGCATCAACGCCCTCCGCCTCGACATGTTCTACCTCCTCTGGAGCTTAGGAAGGTTGGGGAATAGGTTGATTCGCGTGATGATATGTTCTTCTTCTTCGGACGATTGTGTTGGTCATGGGTTTTTCTAGGAGGTTCTATGAGGTGGCGTCTTCTGCTGAGTGTGTTCACAGGAATAAGAAGGTAATGTTTGCGTTGCATTCTGAGTTTTTGAAGCTGGAGAAGGAAGTGGGCAAGTCCAGGTTGCAGAACGAGCCGTTCTCCATTCAGAACGGGTCGTTCTCCATGCAAAACGGGCCGTTCTTCTTGGAGAACGGGCCGTTCTCCAACCAGAACGGCCCGTTCTGCTTGCAGTCATTTTTTATTAGTCCCTTAGCCTCGTATAACTTAAGAAGGGGGGTGAATTAAGTTTTTGTTAATTGTTTAAATGGGAGACGACATGAAATTGATGAAATACGGGACCACCTTATTTTGGGTTTTTAACGAGCTATACAACATGGATATGGCATGGTGAAGATCAAGAAACTCGAACAGTGTCTCATAGTATATGATTTGCTATTGTACTATATAGAGGCACCATAAAAATTGAATTGTGTAAATAAATTTTTGCCACAGAAGAAAAATGGACCATAGTTGGATGAATGCAAGAAGAATCAGTGATGAGTATCAAAATGAGGTTGAACAATTTTTGGAATTTGCTCAACGAAATGGAACAAATTTAAATGGAAAATTTTATTGTCCTTGTGTTAATTGTTTAAATGGGAGACGACATGAAATTGATGAAATACGGGACCACCTTATTTTGGGTTTTTAACGAGCTATACAACATGGATATGGCATGGTGAAGATCAAGAAACTCGAACAGTGTCTCATACTAAGGAAGGTGATGTAGAAATGGAAGATCAAATAGAGGACATGATTCGTGATGTGGGACAAGAGTCTTTCCAACAAACACATTCACATGTGTATGATAATTTAAAAAGTGACTCAGAGACACCCTTGTTTCCTGATTGTACAACCTTCACACGATTATCAACGGTCTTAAGATTGATGAATTTGAAAGCAAAATATCGGTGGAGTGATAAAATTTTCACAAAATTGCTTGAGTTGTTGAAGTTAATGCTTCCAAAAGATAACACGTTGTTAGACCGTCATTATGAGGCGAAAAAGGTTTTGTGTCCAATGGGTCTGCAGTATAAGAAAATACATGCATGCCCTAATGATTGCATATTGTATAGAAAAGAGTTTGAAACATTGCACAAATGTCCTTGTTGTGGGCTATCACGGTACAAACTGAAGGATGGTGGTGGTAGTAGTGATGAAGATGTATATTTTTTCAGTAGGGAAAAAGGGGTGGCATTTAGCAATGCTTGAGGGTGTGACTAGTAATTGGGCCAGAACTAGGCCTAGGCAAAATTTTGCATATTGGACTCATTTTGCTCCTAATTTTTCATAGATTTGATTTAGCTAGGTCTCATCATCATATGATGAACCTAACTAAACCAAATCAAGGATTTTCAAATTAAATCATGGAGCATTTTGAACCAAAGGCCGCCTAGCTCTTTTCTTTCTCCCTGGCCAAATTTCTAAGTTACACTTCTAAGTTTTTGAAGCTTGCCTTGCAAGCTTCTAAACCTTACAAGGTTAAGCCTACCTTACCATGGTTCTTAAGTGAACCATGGTCAAGGTTAGCTTTTCCTACAAGCTATCTAAACCGTGGGAGTTAAGTCTACCTTACCATGGTTCCTAGTGAACCATGGTTAAGGTTAGCTTCTCCTAGAAGCTACCTCTAACCTATATATTTGTAAATACCTCTCTTGTACTCACTTTTGAACAAATTGAGAAATAAACTTCAGATTTCTCTCTCAAGAGTCACTCTCAAAACCGTGGAGACACTTTCTTCTCTAAGGTTTCACCAAAGGTTTCAAACCTTGCCTAGGTTCCTTAAGCTTCTACATCAAACTAGAAGTGACCGAACCTTCTTCAATGACTTCTACTCCATTGGAGCTTGCTTCAAGGAGTGTTGGATATCTTTTCAAGCTTACCTCAAGAGTTGCTTCGGTCCTAAGCATGGAAAGCTTAAAGGAACATCAATCTCCTCCAAGTAGCTCCATCATTCTCTATTCTTCACCTTGCCTGTACTTATATTTGAAAAACTAACACACTTGTTAGAAATAACATGTATTATATTTGTCTCATTCAAAACCTTTGCTGGGAACTGATTTCGTCTTTGTCTGACTTAACATGTCATTCACAGTATTCTTCTCCCAGTGAAAGCCTTAATGTAGGTGACCATTATCAACCTCCCCCTAGAAGAACTATCAAACCTAGAGAATCCAAGGTGGATCTCCCTTAATTTTTTGGGAAAGATGATGTGGAAGCCTACCTTGATTGGGAGATGAAGGTAGAGCAACTCTTTGTTTGCCACAAGGTGAGTGAAGAGAGAAAAGTACCATTTGCAACCCTTAGCTTTCAAGGGCATGCAATGTTTTGGCATCATCAAAACTTTGTGCATATTTTCTTCCACAGTCTCAACTTTGTAATTATGTTTTGTAGAATCGACTCTTATGTATATATGTGTGTGTGTTTTGATTGAGTTTATAGATACTATATATTTTGGGATTGTAATCTTGTAAAGGGGTTTAATTTTACTTCTTTGATGACCAAGAATTACTTTACAACTTTTGATTCTGGTTGATCATTGAGATCCTAAGTACACATATTTTGTACACATGACGTCTAGGTTTTGTTGCATGATAAGCTTAAGATAGATGAATTATGTTTTAGTTGTGATGTTTGTTGTTTATGATGTTATAGTTGTGCTAGTGTATGACATGTTGGGTCATTACACTTTTTGGTATCAAAATTAGTTCAATCATTTGGGCATCACTCTTTAAGGGTGGTTCTGTTGTGCTTTTTGATGTGTTATTTAAGTTGTTTAGATGTGTTGTGATGGTTTTATCTTATGTTTTGGTATTTTGATCTTAGTATAGGATGATGGGTACACCTCTTATATATCCTCATATTTTGATTGATAAGGCTCAAATAGCGAGAGTCGTGGAGATGATGTCAATTGCAACAAACGATGATAGCTCAACATTAACAGGTAGTGTTGGCCCAAACGGACATGAACAAGGTAGTTGTTGAGTCATCCAAAGAGGTTTTTTTCATAGTACTAGACACTAGTAGAGTTTTGGAAGGGTAACCTGAAGTTAGCGGAAAAACACATAGAAGGGGGGTTGAATATGTGTGTGTGTGTACGAAGGAATTTTCAAATAATTTTTGCAAGAGTAATGTTCTTCGTCCAATGCACTTTTAAACGTCAGACTGTTATGCAAAATTAGTTTAACATAAAGTAATGTGTCGGAGGGGTTTATCGTCTGCTAAGGAAAATGTTTCATAATGATAATTATTGAAGTTCTTACATTTTCCTTTTTAAGATAGTTTCGTTTTAGAGACGAGTAGTAGATAAATCTTTTCAGTGTAATATATCTCTTAAACATGTTTGCATCTTCATCTGAGAAATGGTTTTAAAGATATGTAAATATTGGATGAAGTCTTTTACAAAGATTTAATCAGCAGAGAAGGTTCATTCCTAGTTAAACAAGAAAAACAAGGCAATCATTTTTATACTGGTTCACTCAATTGAGCTACGTCCAGTCTCCTTCAACTAAAGGGTTCCACTAGATATGAAATGAAGAACATTGAGTATTATCACCCCCTCCTGGACTTGAGCATTCTCGAACGCTCCTGGCCCTGAGTATTCTCGACCATTCCTAGCCCTAAGTATTCTCAACCACTCCTAGCCTGCCAGCTTGACTCACCAGCACTAGTATTCTTAAACCACTTCTGGTTCTCCAAGTATCCTCGACCACTCCTGGCCTGCCAGCTTCATTCAGCAATGCTAGTATTCTTAAACCACTTTTGGTTCTCCAAGTATTCTCGACCACTCCTAGCTGATGGAGGACCATCCTTGAGGACACATGTGGGCCCCCATCACTAGGTCCATGGCTAGGAGAGTTGAAGAGGAGGAGGGAGCTCACACACCAAGGGACACTCTCCTCATGATCATAGAGTATTAGTTCTCCCCTAAGCCTCATTAGTATAGGGTTTATTTTATTTTCCAATTTTACCCTTGTATTTTGGGGTGTTTAGGACTTAAAATTTTTTTTTTTTTGTATTTCCCATTTTACCCTTGTATTATGGGGTGCTCTAGATGATTAGGATTTTAATTTTGGGCTAGGGTTTAAAATTAGGAGGTGACACATTTTTTTGGTGTTCTTGGACCTATTTTTGGTGTTAGAAAGGCTTAGGCCCAAGTGGAGGGCAAAGGTTGCATGGTCTTATCATGCACCTAGATATAGCCAATCTAAACCCAAAGATTCCATCCTTGGCCACCAAGTTGCATCTAGGGTTAATTTGCATTTCA